CTCCTCCCTTAGGAATCCTGCCTCAATGCCTCTCAAGGAAGGTCTAGCCTCGCTCTCCCACTCCCTGTGCAAGCCGGCATGATGTTGACCGTGGAAGAGCACCCGTGACTCAGGGCTGCATCCGTGTGTCAGCACAAGCTGCCACCCACCAGCACCCTCTGGGCCCTTTGGAGGCCTGGCTGGTGGCACCCACAGCTGAAGAGCGATGGGAGCCTTTAGAAGCCGTGCGTGGGGGTGGGGGTGGGAGGCAGCACTCTTTGGCGGTCACCAACATTGCCTGGCGAAACAAGCCATAGCATTGAATGTCATTGGAAAGCACACAGTAGCTCTCCTGATACCAAGGGTCTCTGGGTCCATCAGAAAACAAATTTACACTGGTCCTCAGGTGTTTGGATAACTTTTGTTCTGCTTTTGGGGCTTTATAAACAGGCCTTTGTTTTTGCTCAGTTTGAGAGGCTGGACGTTTGGATTGACTTAGGCCACGGACTCCAGAAAGGCAGGTTCTCCCTCTCTGTGTTGGTTCGGTTTCTGAGAAAGGCCCTCATCTCCTTTCAGCGGCTGTGGGAGCTCTCTGGGGATCCCGGCATCCCTGGGAGATCTTGGACCCAGTCTTCTTCTGGGTCTGCGAGGTTCTCAGCGCAGGGACCCCGGGGCCACAGAGCACACTCTGCTCCCAGCCCTTCCTTCTGGAATGGCAGGAGGTCCCTCCGGGGCTGGGCCACTTTGGATGGGGTCAGTGTGTCCCAACCTCTACTAGTTTTCCTCTCATTCGTTCGAGTCGTCTTCAATACCAAAGCCTGGCTTTGCGAATGGCAGAAGTGTCAGCTACCGTCGTCGGCCCATCCCACAAGACGAGACTGGACCCGGCCCAGCTGTGCACCACACAGCATGATCACGGCCTCCAGCCCATCCTGGGGCTGTGCCGTCCATCTCATGCAGGGCTCCCTGTGGTGTTCTTAGTCCTCTACTGTCCACAGTAGCATGTCCTCTCCCAGCAGCTGGTCCTTCCTGATGACAGGTCAAACGTGAACTGGCCGAAGTCTCTCCATCCGGGCTTCTAAGGAGCACCTGGCTACACCTCTTCTGAGTGGCTGCCCCATCCCTCTGGGGTCCACGGTGAAGCTGTTGTCAGGTGCTATGGAGCCAGCTCCAACTCATAGTGACCACACACAACAGAATAAACCTTTGCCTTTAGAGGAACAAAACCAGGACACATATGATTTGATAGATGATAGATAGATAGATAGATAGATAGATAGATAGATAGATAGATAGATAGATAGATAGATAGATAAAACATAAGAAATAAACAGCTAATTTGTCCACAGAGCAGTACAAATGGCTCAGTTCAACTCACTTCTGTGAGACAGTTAATACACTGGCAGTCCTTCAACTCACAAAGGCTGCTGGATACAAGTCAAGGAAGCAGACAGCTGAGTCCTCTGTAGAGCAATATTGGCAGTTCAGCCACAGGCAGCAAACAGCAGGGCAGGTCACCAACAGTCAGCCAGATGATAAGGTCTGACAGTCCCCAGCCTCAAGTGATGTATACACCAGCAGTGCGGAGAAGCAGGTCTCTAAGGAACCTCAAACTACAGCAACACAGTCCACGGGTTGGGTGTCCCACAGGTAGTGCAGCTCACAAGTTGAAGCAGAGAACTAGCTAAGGCAGCCACACACTGGCCCAATCACCAGAGCACGAGGCAGAAAGGCGAGGCTCACTGATCCGTTTATCTCTTTGCCCTCAAAATAAACTGCAACCTTATCAAACCCCACCTGTGTTCATTGGCTGGGTTGGCACAATAACCCTACCTCTCACGTGTGCCATCCTCACAACTGGGCTTGAGCCCATGATTGCAGCCACTGTCAGTCTGCCTCCTTGTGGGCCTTCCTCTCTGTCACTTTACCAAGAGTGGTGTCCTTCTCCGTGGACTGGTCTCTCCTGACAGTGTGTCCAAAGTACAGGAGGCTCAGGCTCCTTGCCTTTCAGGAGGGCATGCTGGCTGTACTTCTCCCAAGACGATGTTCAGTCTTGGCAGTCCATGGTACATTCAATATTCTTCGCCAATGACTACCATGGTGAGGTGAAGATGGGGATATGTGTGCAAGAAATCAGAGCATGTCCGTCCCTTAGGTAATCCTGCATGTCTTCCTGAGTGCAAGTGAAGTCGTCACAAGCTATTCCCTCGCAGACAGTGAGACCCGCACTCAACATGGCATGTGACCCCTAGGACAGGTGATATGGTCCAAAGGGCTGAAGGCTCACGAGTGACCACACACGCTGGTGCAGATGGTCACCACCATGGCAGCAGCTTGTGAGCCAGGCTAACATGTTCAGCTGCATTCACATCTCCCACTCCCCCATCTTAAGGGCTTACTCCATCCCAAGAAGAAACAGGATCTGTCTTGCAGCCTGGCTGCTGGGCTATCTTGTGTGCAATGTTTAGGTTGCCCAACTGTCCTCAGAGCACCCCAGGGGCAGCTGCCCTCTCCACACTGTTGTACACATGAGCATGTGGACACCCAGAATTGTTTGGGGCCTTGCCCACGACTGTGGGGAGTGACTTAGGATGTGGCTGTGGCAGTTACCTGCTGTTATGTGACAACTGAGCCCAGAACTCGGGGGCTGGAAATGACACCCCATGTTTGCAAGTAGGTCCCAGTGGGCCTTCAGCTACAGGGTCTCGAGGCTGTGGTCCAGGGGCCAGGAAGAGCAATGTCACAAGACTGAAGCAGGCAGGGCACTGTGGTTGTTGACAGGGCCTGAGGGGCCTCTTCCACCTGCTCCCCACTCCCTCCCCCTCCCTAGTGCCTTCTTCATCCAAGTGGTCTTTGGGGAAGCTCCTAGAAGGTGGCTCCCTCCCTGCCAAGGGGTTTGTCGCACCCTCAGGATGGCACTGGCCACAGGAAACTCTACAGGTACCCCTGCTATTCTGTCTACCTCCTGGTGGGTCTCACCCACTCAGAAGGGAGCCCTGGGGACACCGCGGGTTAAGCGCTGCACTGCCAACCGGAAGGCGAGCAGCTTGATGCACCTGTGTGGATTCTCAGCCGCAAAAGCACCAGAGGTCAGTTCTAATCTGTCCCACAGGGTCACCTGTCAGAATCTTTAGGGTTTTTTGAGTCCTTTAAAATAAATGATTTTACAAATTAAAAAAATTTTTATTGGTGTCTCTTATCACAATCCATACAACCATCATGTTGAGCACGTTACCATCACCCTTTTAAAACGCTTTTTCGACTTGAGCCCTTGGTATCAACTCATCTTTGCCCCTCCCTCCCTCATGAACCCTTGATAATTTAGAAATTATTTTTTTTATGTCTTATACCGACTGCTGTTTCCCTTCACCCACTCAATTGTCCCTCCCCAGGGGTGGGGTGTGTTATGTCAACCATTGTGGTCAGTTCCCCGGCCCCCCCCCCACCCACACACACCCACCTTCCCCTTCCCCTCCTGGTAGTATTGCTACTCTCATTATTGGTCTTGAGAGGTTTATCTGTCCTGGATTCCGTACGTTGTGAGCTCTCACCTGTACCAGTGTACATGCTCTGGTCTAGCCAGATTTGTAAGGTAGAATTGGGGTCATGACAGTGGAGGGGAGGGAAACATTAAAGGACTAGAAAGTTGTGTTTTATCGGTGCTATACTGCACCCTGACTGGTTCATTTCTTCCTTGTGACCCTTCTATAAAGGGATGTCCAATTGTCTACAGATGGACTTTGGGTTTCCACTCTGCCCCCACATCAATGTGGTTTTTTGTTCTGGATCTTTGATGCCTGATTCCTGATCCCATCAACACCCCATGGTCACACAGGCTGGTGGGCTTCTTCCATGTGGGCTTTGGTGCTCTTAAGCTAGATGGCCGCTTGTTTATCTTCAAGCCTTTAGGACCCCAGATGCTTTATTGTTTGATAGCCAGGCACCATCAGCTTTCTTCACATCTGTTTATGCACCTGCTTTGTCTTCAGCAATCGCGTCAGGAAGGTGAGCATCATGGAATGCCAGGTTAATATTAGTGTTCTCTGTTGAGGGAGTACTTGCGTAGAGGCCCAAAGCCCATCTGCTACCTTAATACTTAACATATATGTACATAGATATATTTCCCCATCATATATATTTACAAATGTACATGCCTGTATTTAGACCTGTCTTTTGCCTCATTCCTTCCTCTATTTCCTTTTACTTCCCTCTTGTCCTACTATCATGTTCAGCCTTCATTCAGGTTTCAGCAATTCCTCTCAGCTACACTGATCAAGCCCCACCAGACATCATACACCCTCCTTGCCACTGACTTCATGTCACTTACTTCCTTGTCCCAGCTTGTTGGCACCACCCTTCCTGACCCACCAGTCCCATTGTTTTCTTCTCCATTTGTTTTCCAGTCGAATCTGATGCAGTGCCGTGCCCTGGCCCAAGTCTATTTCTGGTATTCCTTGGTGTGTCATCACTCTGCTCCCTACTGCTGTTGCACACGTGTTTCTCCCCGGTGTGGTGGGGTCAGATAGGGCACAATTCCCACACTGTGCCTCCAGTGTAGTGCTGTATGTCAGGGACGTTGTCTCCAGCCCTATGGTCCTCTGTGCATTGGATGCTCTGAGAAAGAATGCGGTCGTCGGGGCTTGTTGGGCCAGAACGTGTTCCACTGTCTGTCCCTTCGTCTGCTCCTATGCGCTCTCATCAGACTCGCCTGTCCCTGAACTGCAGCTTGTGCTGTCCCCTAAAGTGCATTCTTCTGGGCAGGGGGTCATGTAGTTGGGGCTGGGGCCGGCCCCTGCAGACCTCTCTTGGTTCGCTGCTTAGTGCTGGTATGTTGCAGTCACGTCTTTGCACACGGGGTATAAGTTTATATCCCCACAGATGGAGAGAGGGAGCAGACTTTGACCAGAATCTTTGGTCTCCTATGCTAAGGACATTTAATTCTGACTCTTCCTTTTAGTCAAAAGCCAGCTTCTTCCTTCGTCGCCTCAGCAGGAGATAGGAGAGTCAAGCGCGCACTCAGCTCGGAGTTCATAGCTCTTTATTGACCTGCTCCAAGGACCACACCTCCCACTTCACAAATCAAAGCCCTGGGTCCCAGTGCCCAGCGGCCCTCCCTGGACCCTTCCTCACAAAGGCACCAACATCACCTGAGACCTCAGACAGCGACCCCTGTGCACGCTCGGCCACACAGGGTGGTGCCCGAGTGCACCGGGTAGAGGCTCTTTCTGTAAATAAGTGTTCAACCCTGGGCCTCTCCGTCAACCTAGGCATGATAAACCGGACCTGGCAACCTCTGTAAGGGCAGTTTCACTTCATTTCTTTGTAGAAGACTTTACTGGTGAAGGTCTCTGGGCAGCAGGACGCACCACGCAGCGTGGCCCAGGCCCAGCAGGCAGCTGCACACCGAGGACAGCGCAGCGAGCTGCCCAGTCCGCTGTTCCCGGTCCACTCACTGCTCGGCTCCTGGCCAGCTCTGGGTTGGGTTTGAGCCCCACCACTACCGAGGCAGTTTCCCCGGGTCCACTCTCCTCACTGGGGCAAGCTTTCCTCAGCCATGTCACCTCCTGCTGCCCCGTCTGGGCTTCCCACCTTAGCTGTGTCACTGCCCGCTGCCCCATCAGAGCTGCCATCCCCAGCCATGTCACCGCCCGCTGCCCCATTGAAGCTGCCATCCCCGGCCATGTCACCGCCCGCTGCCCCATCGGAGCTGCCATCCCCGGCCATGTCACCGCCCGCTGCCCCATCGGAGCTGCCATCC